ACCAGAAGGCTAAATCAAACATCGATATAGTCAAACGACATAACACACAGGACAGCGTTATGGCCATGAGGAACAGCACCTTTCCGTTCATTCTTAGTTTTGGCGAGAAGGCAATTTGCTACATCAATCGCATCTTGAGAAGGTACACTAAGTCTTCAAGCCTTCGAAAGGAATAACGTGGCAAACTTAGTAGTCAAGCTAGATGAACGCACGAAAGCGAGTCTGTTATCCTTTAGACAAAGCAAATATATATTACTTAACTGTACGACGCGACGTTTTATAAGTGAACCCTGGATCGGATACGCAGACTAACAAACTTGGCAGTAGCGCGTATACTTTGATATGGCTTTCATTTAGATGGTACGGCTTCCCAGCACAATTCTCTAACATTCGGTCCGCAGACAAGGTGAGCATCGAGTAAATGGGCAAGAAGTGCGTTTTTTGACGCAAATTATTTTCAGTGAAAGTAAAAAGGCGTATCCGCGGCCGTAAACAAGGGTCTTAGGGACTATGTTTTAAATTGCGTGATTTCCCTAAACGGGCGGAGAAAATGCACACGGTTCATGAGTTTTTTTTCGCAGAAAACTCTCCATATCCTGAAGACTCATGGTGTGATTCGATAGTCGAATAAGAAATGCTGCCAACAGGCCGAAAAGTACGAAAAACAAGTGTTGATACAAGAACCTATGCAAGTTTCTTGGTGTTTGTAGATAAAAAAAAGACTACCTCAAGTTCTAAAGCCTGTGCTTAAATTAAGGAAGAGCATGGGAGTACGGTACTTGCTGTCAATTAAAATAAATAAACATCTTCCTTCAAGCGATTAAGAAGTAAAAATGTAAGATGCGAGATTGTGAAAATTTCACGAGGAGCAAATGAAATAGTCAAACCAACGGAGCAGCTATCAATGACTTGGGAACATAAGCTAGTTTAAACTCATTCAAAACAAGTTGTCAATAGTATAACGGAAAGAAAGGAAATGCCAAAGTATTAAGTCTGAAAATAGCAAAAGGAGGAAACTAAAATCCAAATTGCTTCCGATTTACGCCATCACCGTGCAATATGGAAAAATAAACCTTAATCCGCTGGTCAGTAGTTCCTACATGCAAACGGAAAGTCGTTGTTAACAATTTCCGGAAACCCGTGCGTAACTTAGATAAACTCATTAATTATCCTAAAATATGCTTAACAAGCCTTTATCCCAAAGTCGTGACGACCATTGCTCAAAAAGTTTACCTGACCAATCCGAATAACATTTCAACTTTACAACGGCACATCTTAGAAAGTGCCGTACGCTCGATACACTTACCAAATTTGTATATCCATCACCTGCTGTTGGCTGCTACCCGTAGTTGTTAGGTCGTCATAACTCAATGCCCAAGTTACGTCGCGACCGTCGTTGGCAGTGATGTGTTAAGCATTAACATAGAAATTTGTCAAGATACTATGGGATTCACAATTTATCCAGAGCACTTGTTGCACTTTACGTACACTTGTTTACTCAGGGCAACAGATTACCCGTAAACGCAAAAATCGACGATATGCTAAAAAACGACAACCCCTTTTGCTAACGGGTTGAACTCGCCAATTCAAAATTACGTACGATGCCATCTTGAGTTATCTTTTACACTGAACCCTCGTGTAAACGCAAAACCAAGATAAACGGGACGAAGGCAATATGATGGGGAATCTCGTTTTCCAACAAATGAGAATGTTAAAAGCATTATCATAAAATTTGGCCACGCAAAACTTACTTTTGTTTGTGGTCAATACAGGCTGTCAACTCAAACATCGGCCCAACTAGATGGACACCACTGTTCGGGTCCAAGTTTGCGTAACGCTTTCTTGGTGACTGAAAAAAGTTACAGTATGTCCTGAAGGATCTAGTCAAGGTATCAGGTCGAGCTGTCGGGGATTCATCACTGTCCTTTTTGTCCAGATCTATGTTAGAATCCATAGTGAAAGACGCGACCACCTAATAAAAGTGTGCTTTGGATAACACGAGATCAGTGTCGAAGTAGGCCAGAAAAGGCATTGACATGGAGTAAAACCCGATGTGAAGACAGTAGACTAATTCGCTCAACGAATCGTGGATACTAATTCCATCGGCCGAAACAGATTTCAATTGACGAATACTAGCCTCCAACTAGATAACCTTGTTAAGCTACCGTCCCGCTCAAGTTTGACACAACTCCCAAACACCCGGATATCAATATTCGCGCAACACCTTAAACAAAATTGTTCCTTTGCATCAGGTCAGTGTGGACCGGCTTTTATTAATATTCTGGGACGCAGTTGGCGATCCAGAGCTAAATACAATATAAAGATAATTTTGTCCATCCTTTGAGTTTATGCTATCGCGTGTTTTTTAGTGGTAACATATTCCCAAAGAACAAGATTCTTCGTCAGTTCAGTTTATAAAGGCTTAAGTCTGTAAGTAGCCTACTTACCATGTACAAATGGGTGCAGTGTACCTAGAAACCATAGGAGTTGGAATATTTTAAACGGTCCAAGAAAGCTATGCAAATCTTACTATGGGCTTCGAAGGTTGATGGGGATGGAGAACTTTCGCACATCCAACCTTGCTTGCTGAAAGTCCACTTGTAATGTGTAACCAAGTTGATTGGTGGGGGTAGCATATTCGTCAAAGGCTATGCTGTGTTCCTTTTCCTTCAAAATCAGAAGTGTTTGTAAGAAATCCTCGTGCGTTTGTTTGTATTTAAAAAGAAATGTAGTTGTTCGTTGGGCGTTTTGCATAATGTAGTGGGGTTTGTCGATTAGCCTTTTCGGTGGCAATTCTTCGAAACCATTTGATATTATTTTAATTTTCATCCAGCCACAGTCTCCGAGGTTGTACGGTGTATTTCATACGTGATCTCGCGCATGGGTGGCAAATCTCGGTGAAAAGTTATTTATCAGCATTCATGAAAGCTCGCCCTAAGGTGTACAGCAATTGCGCGATTTCCTCAAGTTAAGCACTGATCAGATTATTTTTAAGGCGGTGTTGTCTGCACGCCGACCTCCTTCTGAGCATCAACGTTTCGTTAAGCTTAAGGGCTGATTAATTTATGCCTTGTGTCGGTAGACAGAGCCGGGTAGCCAAGGTGAATGGTGATACTTCTAACGATTAAGCCATTCCTGTAATCAATTTAAGGGGATCCGCAGTCCATCTTGGTCGGCAGATTTCTTGGTCTCCAGCAGTCTTTTATGTAGTACACTTCAAGCATCTTGCTTAAAGGTGTACGTAAAATCAGATCAAAAGGGATTCCAATAATGAGGAAACACACTGTCGATTGCAGCAGGATTTAATTTCTATTAACCGATGCAACTTAAAATTATTGCTGGAGATATTAATTTTCTCAAAATTTACTGGCTTTCAAACTCTTGCCCACCTAGATTTCAGCTTTTCGTAGACACCATTAATCTTTCTCATTGGTCACCACTGATCCGCTCCCCAACAAGACACAATAATATGGCGTTCGTGGACTTTGAACCCTACCAGGCCTAATGCTGAAGATAATGCTGCTGAAGCTGCGGCCCGCAAAGGGCTAATTCTTCAGCCGACAGCGAGCAACTTTTGCCGAAAAACATTCATGGAAGACTGAGAACACTGTGTTCTTGTGCCAACCGTTCCCGTCCCGAACTAATGTCCCTAGACGATCTGCAGCTTTTCTCCTGCTAATCCGTCAACTCAGTTTATAACTGTACATACATTCCCTTTGTATCGTACCTTTGAATTCAGGTTTTTTCACTTGAAACAAACTCCCTATCTCGCCCAGTAATGACAAAACACAAAATTGAAACAAAACCAATACTGACTGCAAAAGAGGGAGGTTGTTTTGGGTTTTTCCTGTCTTCGAGGCTTTGGAAGGCGCCCAAGAAGTGCTTTATCAATTAACACAATTTTTTTTAAATTGCCTGTAAAGTGGCATAATAAACATATACATACTAGATCTGATTTTTAGAAACGGCATTGTTCCCCTGTTCATTAATATTTAGCAGGACATCTTCGAAAGTGAGCATCCATTAATTCACTGTTGCCTTCCGCTTCTTTCTGAGAAAAAGGCTTGCACCGTTCGCACCTATCCTGCTTATGATATTAGCTTAATCAACAATTTTCTAGACTCATTGGATTTGCATTTTTTATTGGATTGGCAGAGTCTCTCCTCCGTAAACGACGCTGCATGTGTTTCTGAATTCATGTCAATCGTTTCTAATAAAATGCTGGAATTTGTGCCCACCAACATTGCAAAACCCTACGCATCAGAATCGACTCTCCCCCACTTTCTTTTGCCAAGCCTAAATAAATTGAGGAGGCAGTCGAAAGATCGGTGTACTAGTTCGTTGTCTGTGTATCTGAGGATCGCAGAGATTTTCGAATTGGCGTCATAGGTTCATCTAGGACATGACAGACGGAGGGAAACAAGCGCACTTAGCGAGTTATACTGTCGCTCAACTGTTCCGTCATCGGTCCTCCGCTGAATGAG